ACTTCTGGTTGTGAAATACATGATTTAAAAGTTTACTATTCACACTTCCGGTAAGGTGGTGGAATAGAAAGACAAGCTATACAGACCCTCTTCAACAAAGAAAAGAGAAATCAATTGACAGAGATACAGAAGATAATCCTGGAGCTCTGGGCTTTGAAATGGGTATACAGAAGTGGATTAGACACTAACTAGAGGAAAAACTTGAATGAAAACAGTTAAGTGTGGAGAAGATCAGAGTTGTAGACTGTCAGCTACTCTGACAGGTCCAATAACCTGAATAATTCCAAGTAGTGCTGGGACCTGAGAATTGACCTAAAGATCAGTCCTGGTCGCTAAGTGGTATAGGGACGACTGCACTGGTGGCCTATGACTACGAAGGGAAACAGCAAGGAGGGAGACAACATGAGCTGCTGACTTTTGGCTGTCCAGAGGGTGCAGCCATTTTGATTGTTTACAAGCAGTGGCCATTTTGGATGTTTAAAGCAACCAAGGGTGCAGCCATTTTGAATGTTTACAATGGTAGCCATATTGGATTTTAAATTGACAGCATGAGAATGATTCCAGGGACCTAAGAATAGGTTCCATTTGTCAAGGACGGCAGGCACAAACGGGAGGCTGACAATGGGAAAGGAGACAGATGGTGAGTGCATAAGTGCTGCCATATAGCGAATAGAGGAGTACGGTACCCTGCTTATGTAGATAACATAGAAACAAAACAAAGGAAACAAAAATTGAGGGCAAGTCACTCCAACATACAATCACCACTTCAATATAAACACAAAAACGTCCCAACATCTCAGAGACAGCAGAGCATCACAGTCCACAAAAAGAAGCAAGATAAAGCAAAAAAAAAATAAGGGAGCAGGATACAGACCCAAAATACATTTCTGAGGAAGCAGCAGCATTGGAACTTGCTGATAAGGAATTCAAAAGAATTGTATTTAGGTACCTTCAGTGGATTGAGAGACATATCAAGGAAAACAATGACAAAATTGAGGAAAACACAGAGAAAAACCTACAACAATTTTGAAAGACAATATAAGAACAAAATGACAAAATAAATGAAAAATTAGAAATGATACAAAATCTACAGAGAGAAATCCAGAAGATTAATACTAAATTTTCAGAAATAGATAACACATTGAATGGGCAAAGGAGTAGAATTGAATCAACAGAAGACAGAATTAGTGAGATTGAAGAAAAATACCTCAATACTTCTTTGGAAAGGGATCAGTCAGAAAAAAGACCAAAACAAAATGAAGAAAGTTAAGGTTCATGTGGGATATGATCAAAAGGCATAACCAATGTATAACTGGAATTCCAGAACAAGAAGAGACAAAACCACACAGAAAATTGCCCAAGATTTGTTGGAAGGAAATATTCCCAGTATGATGAAAGATAAGAATATATCCATTCAAGAAGTCCAAAGAACCCCAAACATGATAGACCCTGTGGTGGTTAGGTTTGTGTGTCAACTTGGCTAGGCCTGGTTGAGTGGCAGGGCAGCTGGATGTAGTATTCCCCATAACAAGACTGGTAATAAACCCCATGGTGGAATCTACTGTGAGCAGCTGAGTAGCTGCCTTTAGGTATGTGATCTCCTTCCCATATATAAGTAGCAGCTTTGGGAACAGTCTGTAGCTTATGGTACACCTGAACCATGCATGTAACCATGCCATTGTTCAACAGCCTGCCATGCTCTGCTGACCTTGGGACTTTGGATGGACTTGAATTAATCTCCTGCCATGTGGTTTGTTAACATTGGGACTGTGCCATTTTATTTGTTGACCTTGGGTTATTAGCCTCAGCAGCCAGTAGCTGCTTGAGCGAAGAAATGCTTCTAGCTTCAGTGGGCCAGGAGCAAGAGGCAGAGATGAAGCCCAAGGTCAAGGGGCTTTCACCCAGCCCCTAGAGCCGGGCACTTTGAACTCGGAATTAAAGCCTCCAAACTGTAAGAGAATAAACTCCTGTGTTTAAGGCCATCCCATTTTTGGTATATTCTTGTCAGAGTGGTACTAGGTAACAAGAACAGAACCCAAAAATATCACTAAGACTTATCATCATCAAACTCACCAAAACCAAAGACAAAGAATCCTGAAAGCAACATGGGAAAAATAAAAAGTTACCCACAAGGGGAAACCAGTAAAACTAAGCTCGGATTTCTTGGCAGAAACTATGCATGCGAGAAAACAATGGGATGGTGTGTGTGTGTGTGTGTGTGTGTGTGTGTGTGTGTATGTATGTATGTATATGAGACCATGAAAGACAGAAATTTCCAACAAAGAATTACATACCCAGCAAAACTGTCTGTAAAATATGATGGTGAGATTAGGAGATATCCAGATAAGCAGAAATTAAGAAAATTTGTTGAAACCAGACCAACCTTACATAAAATGCTAAAGACAGTCCTTTGGACAGAAAGCCAACAACAGCAAACAACAACTGACCATTAACACACATGATGACATAACCCAGACACCAACCTCATTATGGAAGTATCCAAAGTAAATAAGCCTATAAGATTGTAAACAGGGAACCAGAGACATCAATTGACAAATGAGGACAACTACAGACAAAAAAGAGGGAAAAAAATGTATAATTACAGAACTTCTAAATGGTAGGGAAGTCAAGACAACTGCAAAATAGAATAGACAGTTCTACACTTGGGAAGAAAATTATAAATCATAGGGTAACCTCAAAGAAAAATGATAAACCTTCACATCAAAATTAAAAAGAGGACCAGCACAAATATTTACCAAATATGAAAACAACAGTAACTAAGGAAGTGATTGTTGTTGTTGTTGTTATGTGCCATCGAATCGGACCCGACTCATAGCGACCCCTCCTTGGGTTTCCAAGGCAGTATCACTATGGAAGTAGATTGCCCCAACTTCCTTCCGAGGAGTGGCTGGTGGGTTTGAACCGCCAGCCTTCTGGTTAGCAGTCAAGTGCCTTAGCCACTATGCTACCAGAGCTCCTTAAACTCACTGCCATGGAGTCAGAACCGACTCATAGTGACCCCTCATTGGGTTTCCGAGGAGGTATCACTATGGAAGTAGATTGCCCAACCTTCCTTCCAAGGAGTAGCTGGTGGGTTTGAACCACCAGCCTTCTCATTAGCCATTAGAGAGATACAAATCAAAGCAACAATGAGATACCATCTTGCCCCAGTACTAGCAGCAAAATTCAACAAGACAGAAAATAACAAATGCTGGTGAGGATGTAGAGAGCGTGCGACTCTCATACACTTCTGGTGGGACTGTCAAATGGTACAACCACTGTGGAAAGCAGTATAGCGATTCCTCAAAAAGTTTGAATTAGAAATACCAATTGACCCAGCAATTCTGTTAGTAGGTATATATCTTAAAGAAATGAGAGCCAGGACAAGAACAGATATATGCACACTCATGTTCATCGCAACACTATTTACAATAGCCAAAAGATGGAAACAACCTAGGTGTCATGCCCATCAACAGAAGAATGGATAATCAAACTATGGAACATACATACGATGGAATACTATGCAACACTAAAGAATGTTGTAGAATCTGCAAAACACTGCATAACATGGATGAACTTGGAGGATATTATGCTGAGTGAAATAAGTCAATCACAGAAGGATAAATGTAGTATTAGTTCATTATTATAAACAGTCAAGGAAAGGTTTACATATGGAAGGAAAATTTCTTTGTTGGTTACCAAGGATAGGAGGGGAGGGGAGGGAACACT